TTTTTTGGGGGGGGGGCATTTGTTAAAGGGCTGGAGCTGGCCTGTGTGGGGCACCTGTGGAGGGGCTGGGGGAGTGAGGGGGGGGTCCGCGGTTTGTGCAGAGCTCCCCATGCAGTGTGGGGTTAGTGGGGGGCAGCAGGGATCCCCCCCACCCAGCAACACCCAGTGAGCTGGAGCTTTTTTTTTCACAAGTGCTGGGAGCCCCCGCCCCCCTTCAGGGGGGACTGAAAACCCCCCAGTCTGAACTCCCTCTGCTCCCTTTCTCTCCTCCCATTCTGAAAACAGGGACAGGCTGGGACCTCCCCAGACACAAGTTACAAAAGATACTACATTATGTAACATCTTTATCTGATACCTCCTGCAATGAGGGGTTAGATTTTCACTCAATCAGCCATTTTAAAGCTGGTTGCAGCTGTGCACATGTTTGGCCACAGCTTTAAATGGCTTTCTGTAGCCAGAACAGGCAAAAGTTGTCACTTCTGTCTACACTGGCCAGCAGCTGGAACATCCTTCACCTAGTGCAATGATAGGGCAGCCTTCGCACTAGATTTAACTTGGCAAATGACCCTTTGAAGTGTTATTATGAGACTGTAGCCCACTGTTTCTGAAAGCAACTCATAACATTATCTGGTGTCAGGTCAACTCGAAGTCATTTGAAACTACCATTTTATAGTGTGTAGTCCAGAGAGTATCAGGAAGCTTGAGTCCTTAGAAGTGAGGGCTAACATTACATGTATGGGATTAACACAGGGATGGGCAAAATGCAGCCCACGGGCCAGATGCGGCCCACCAAGCCGTTTTATCTGGCCTGCGTGGCCCCTAAAAAATAAAATCTAGAAAATTAATATTTGTCTGTTCCTAGCTGCCTGCCCTGCAGCCCTCCAAAACTCAGTAAGCAGCCCTCCTCCCAAAATAATTGCCTGCCCCTGGATTAACACAATCCCTAGTTAAATTAAATATGTATTAAGGCAGCTGGCAAACTAGTGAAGCCTACTCCATTTTTCCTCCCTATAATCAGTTTTAGTTTGAGAAAACAGACCAAATACAAAGTAGTCTAATGAATGACATCATGTCAACCATAAGTAGAGTAATAAGCTTCAAAAAGAAAGAGAAAAAGCAATTGCTTTAGTCCTTTATTACTATTAGAAGTCAGTTGTTTTCTTTTCCTTTACTACCAAAAAAGTAGCTTTATTTTTATTCAGTGGATGATGTTTTTCATTGTTGCTTTAAAATACAAAGGCCCACACCTCTACAGGCTGGGAGCTTTGAAAAGTGTATACAACCAATGGCAGAAGGTATTAGAAGTCAAACCCTCCCCACCTCTGTGGATATAGGAAAATGTTCTTTTTGCTTAGATAACAGGAAGATGATTGAACAACGCTGAGGGTGGGCTTAAAGCTAGTACAGGTAGGAGTTCCTTTGCAAGGCAGTATTAGTTTGTTTCTTATGCACAAAAACCCACCCACAAGGGTACAAGCTTGACTTCATATCAAGGAGTTCCCTAGTAAGAGCAGAGTAGAGCTTCAAGGCTGGTAACAGCAAGTCAACTTCTTTGGATACATGTATGCTACAAATTGATCAAGTACAACAGGTGTTAGCAGTGAAAGAAAACCAACATCCCTGTCAGACAGTTTTGAACTCTGGTGTGTTCTAGACCTCATGTACAGTTAAATATCATGGTTCATTGAGTTTCATATTCACAGTTGAACTTGGCTATCAGTACAGGTCAGAAATCACGCTCTCTTGTAAGCCTGTTTACAAAACTTGGTCCTTGCAGCGGAGCTCCTGCCAAAAAAACGGAAGAAAACAAAGAGTTATATAACATGTTACTTTACGGCTCTAGTTTCCTACTTAATTTAATCCATAAACTTCCAGTTCTATAGAGTTTACCGTCTCTTACATTTCTGAACATTGTACCTCTTGTATTATCTATATAGGGCCCAAGTAAAAAATAAATACAAAAGGTGGAAGTTTAGCAGTGTCATTAAGAGCCGAACGTATTAAAAGGAACTCCCATGTGTGTTACTTAGAGTTTGTTCTAAAGTTTTTTAGGCTTGGTTGCAGTTCCCAGACAGATTACACAGAGGTCCAAACGACAGGGTGATTAAGAAAGCACAACAATCAAGTTTAGTGGAAAGACAACACTGCTCAGATTGATACCTGAATACTTCCAACTAGTCCCCGTTGTAAAGAGCTAGATGATAAGAGGACCTTACATACATATGAATTATGTACAATGATCTTGCTCTGTCCTTGTTATAAGATCCCAGAGTCACTAACCTGTTCACTGCACAGAAACATGTAAAGGAACATGCCAGTCAAACAAGATTCAGGGTGCTGCCATGGCTTGGGTTATCTTTCATACAGACCCATTAATTGAGATAACTTAAGTCTGACCAGGTACCAGGTAGAGATTATCTCCTTCTATCCAGTGAGTCCAGCCCCGGTTGCTCTTCTCTCCAGTCTGTATGCAGACAAGCTTGCGATTGTCCCAAGTAACCAAACTCTGCGTTTGAGAAGAAAGCGATAGTGCATTATTTTTATTCCCCAAATCACTCTTCTCTGCACAGATGGAGGCACTTTCCCATGCTAGTCAACTTCCTTAAGGTTTATAAGCACGTCATAGAGGAGAGTGGCACCCTTCTCCCCAACGCAGGAACTGAAGAGTTCTTTGTCCTGGATCTAAGGCAGAGATGTACAACCCCACAGTAAAGATTCAGAATTTCAATGCGTCAGATTAGACTCTTGCCTCATCCAGTGAATACATTCTGTCCTACCTTGCATTTTCTGTTATCCAGGCTTTTATTATCTTCTTCAAACCATTCTCCAATTTTGAACTGGACAAAGTCCTCTTGGAGAGCATTAGTGGTGTGGATGGTAAATGAGCCACCATTCTGTTCAATTACCTTCTGTGGCTTCACGATGCTTGCTATCTTGCATATAGCGAAGTCAATACCTTTATAAAAAAAACAAAACAAACAAACAGATGTTGTTACAGGGTTTTAAACAAACAAACAAAACAACACATACAACCCCCCCCCCCGCACAAAAGAAAAACACCAAACCCACCCAAATAAACCACATACACAAAACCATGTACACAGATGTTGCTAGAGCTTCAAGGAAAACATTATCTAGAAACAAGGCAACTTTGGTTCTTAGTGCTTCTTGAAAGGTTGACAAAGTTTTATATGGTCTTTCCTGGAAAGTATCTCCTTGAAGAGAGGAGGTACTTGCTTAATATTTGACTCTGTGTTGCACCATTCCCAGGTAAGATTTCAGCATTTAAAAAGTGCTGGTCTTTCACTATCGGCAGATCATAGCCATGTGTCAGTGGCACTGTTCTGGTAGTTGTAGTGAGTTCTGCCATTATTAGTACAACCCAGATGCTGTAGTTGCTTTGATGGAAGTTCTGATAGATACATTTGGCCTATATTTTTTTTACTACTACTACTGACACCACTACTATACAAAGTCAGATGAAAGTTTCATCTATATTGCAAGGTCAGAATTTTGGTTCCATTAAACTTTCCAGCATTCACCAGACAATCATTCCTCCTCTGCAAACCTCCATCATGCATTGGTCCCCAACTCTACCTTATAGTATTGAGTGCTGCATTAAGCTCCTCTACATTAATCTGTATCCAGCTTCTTTATTTAATATGAAGGGACAGCTTTCATTTTTCCAGGGACTGCCAATTCCCAGCAGGTGCTGCACAGCAATTAATTTGCAACATCAGGCTCAGTTGACATTGTAGCAGAAAGCCCCCTTTTCCTCTTGCCTGCATTTGCTCTCCCCTCTTTGGATACGTTTCTCTTTTTCTACCTTTTCTTCCTTCCTCTTTCTTTCACTTTAAGATAAGGAATTGTGTTTTAAAATTTGTATGTGTGCATTTTGTATCTCCCCTTGTAGTTTGGTATTTTTATCTGTGTGCACGCCATGGCATTGGTAGCTTATATTTTATACTCCTCACCTTTCATCTTTCAGCTGAATGTATTTAGTTTCATAAGTAAGTTACACATTGTTACAATGTATAAGAGAGCAGGAATCAAACTGTCCTTCCCTGTATCAGGCTGGCCCCTGAAAGGGCGAGTGAATCAGTGATTGAATGTGGAACACTGTAGCAGCAGACAGAAATTAACACCTGGGACATTGCAGATCAACCAGCAGAAGATTTCAATAGAAGACAATGTAACAACCGGGAAATCTCTAAACCTCACTGATCAAGGGCTAGAAGCCCTGGCCTGAGTTAATCAATGCCAGGGACCAACTTTTGGGCTGAATATCTCCAGATTGACCGCTCCCAGAGCGGTATTCAAAATTTATCAATGGACTCCCAAACCTGCATGTACATGCGGACGACCCCTGGGGCTGACAAATGCCATCCAGTAGCCACCGGGGGGAGAAGTCCCACGAGGGTCAATGACCCCTGGATTGGGCAAACCTGAAAACTGGGGAGTCACCAAAGTCTGCCAGGGACAGATAAAAGGCAGTGAAAAGTGACCCTCAATGGTGCCCTCTTGATCTCCAACTCAACCAGACCTGTCCAGCCAGAAGGACCAGCCGGCAACCCCCTTCTGGAGGATAACACCACACTGAAAGAAGCCTCGACTGGCCATCAACGGCAGACTCCAGCGCTTGTAGGATAGGTATACCTGACTCTGTAGCTTACTACTGTGTGCGTACCAGCCCCAAGGTTTATGATTTAACTCATTACAGTGTTTCAATCTGCCTAATAAACCAGAATTTTAAGGATCCCGAGTTGGACATTTGTAGCCAACATTATCAGACACTAGACAATTTTTTGTTTTGTTTTTTGCTTTAACACACCATCCACAGCCCCCATCTTTGTAAGACCCAATTCAGAACCCTAGCTACATTTTTAGTGAAGTTCAACAAGCTCAAGCAGAGGCCCCCCCACTGTAGTTTGCTTTCCTTCTCTGGCTAAGCTTATGCTGGGAAGGTTGTTTGCCTGCTATATTCTGATGGAGAAACCAAAGTAAGATAAAGAGCATCCCAAAAACAGTCTCAGGCCTCCTTTGATCTATAGTTTTCTCCACCTTCTGTTTTTGGAGCACAAACTTTACTTGCACTCCGAAAACAATTAGTTGACATGGCAGTTGTCTGTCACAGAAACACAGTACATTTGGCACATTTATGTGAAGCTGAAAACTTCATGTTACTTCCTCTCCCCAAATTCTGGGAGTAGTCAGCTCATAACAGCCACCATCTGTTAGCCATTTAGTGCATTCAGTTTAAGAAACTGGAACATTCTGCACATTATATAGATACTAGAAATAGATACATGTATGCCTTTCATCAGTTAGTGTTGTTCATATGCTAGCATAGCAAGACTTGACTTTGTACTGCTGCATGTGTGCATTTATCTTAAGAACTCCCTCCCACACAAAAGCAAGTAATTTTGAAGCTGAGTTTAATTGCAGTTAATTATTGATCTCTCTGAAAGTTGTGCATTAGGCTAGGCATCTCAAGCCTTCCCATACAGAGAGATTTTTTTGCCCAGTGGAGTGACCAACTGTACTTCCTTGAATCACACTTTGCTGGAGTTGCCATTTCTCAGTGTTTTCTTACTCAGAAGACATGACTAACCTTGCATTTTTTTTTTTTTTCCCCCCTCTCTCCTCCTCGCTCTGCTCCTGTTTTTGCCCCCGTCCACACTCATACTGGTCTTTTAAAGTACTAATACAGGCAAGCTAGCCTGGAAAGTGACTGCAAGTCTGAGAGGCAGAGGATCCTGTTAAGAATGGTTTTACCACAACAGGTTACTGGGCCATGAATTAAATGGATTTCTCTTCTCACGTGGCAGTTGCAAGTCTTTAGATAGGAGTTTTAAAGGTAACAACTTCTTAGTGTCCAAGAAGTTTTATTCTTCAGTTATCAGGGCTGTACTCCCCTTCACCTCAAGAATGCTGCGGAAGCCATGCAATCATTATATTAATTCAATATACACATCATTGTTTGTTAGAAAGCAAGGCACTTCCAAGCTAAACTACTGAACATAAGTGCGAGCTTCTGATCTAAATACAAGATAATGGTCTACTTTGAGTAGAACAGAGAGAGTAAGTGGATGTGGGGTAAGAGAACCAAAACAAACCACTTTATCATTGGTTAACATTATACCTCCTAAGGAAAGTCTCTGGATTAAATTTCCAACTGTGCCACAGTGAAAGACAGTCTTATTCTCATATCTTTCAGAAGTAGGAAGGCCAGACTGGTCTCCTATAGTCTGGAGACCAATAAGTATTGTTTTTAAGACTGGTCTAGACAAAGCCTTGGCTAACAAGATATAGTTGGTCCTGCTTTAAGCAGAGGGTTGAACTAGATGACCTCCTGAGATTGCTTTCAACCTTAATTTTCTATGATTCTAATTTATCTCCATGACTGAGATTTAGGAATTCAACATTCAAGTGCTTGAGACTTACAACTGAAGATGTAGTCACTCTCAGTTTATTACCATTGTCATCTAGCTGGAAATGTGGTACTTAAATTTACTCTACTTTATTAATAATATGTGGGAGGCAATTGATTTCAGGTCATTCAATGGTCTTACTACTGTCTAGAATGTCAGTTGAGTGTACAACCCAAAGAGTTGTGCCATTTAAGCATCACCAAATTTCTTTGCTTGCACAAGGCAGACAAGGTTCCTTGGGTGAATCTGATATCGTTCATTAGACCAACCCAAATAGTTGGAAAATAATTATTAAGCAAGCTTTTGGGTTCAAAAACCCTTTCAATGTTTGGTTGAATGAAGATTGTCTAATATACAGCCCACACACCTTTTCACCATGAGAATATTTGGCATTCATAAACTTTTCTGAGTCTTCCCATCACCCCTGATGTTTTCTTGTCCTTATCAGCTTAGATAAGAGAACTTAAGCAGTTACCTCAGGGAAGCAAGGGGAAGGACAGTTACGGCTTGACTCTGCTCTCCTGTGGTGAGCATAATCGGATGCTGTTTTGCAGCTATGATACCACAGCTGTTTCTTTTGTTACCTTTCTCCCTCCACTTAAAGAAGACATCTCTTGGCCTCTTAAAGAACTGTAGTTAAGCAGGCAGTCAGGGATTTAGTGTTAGTGATCTCAGAACAGTCCATTGTATTCCTTGTGTCCGTAACAGATGTTTTACTGCGAGACGGTACCTGTACTTGGGAGCATTTGGCAGGGGTTGTTTTGTTTTAAAGCCATCAGTTGCATCTACACCAGGATGTCAGATTTTTGTATTTGAATGAGGACCACACACACACACACACACACACACACTCTAGTAGAGACCTCAGAAAAGTGCAGTCACACCTAATTTTTCTTTGAAAGGCACAGCTAAGAACTCATACCAAACTCCAGAGCAAGGTTTAAGAAGACTAGAAAGCTACTTGCAAAATAGAATAACAAAACATCATATCCATTCTTATATGGATGACACAGGTAGGAGTATAGAGTAGGATCCTTCTTACATATGGAATGATTATTCTTTTGTAGAAAGAAAAAAAAAATTTAACCCCCCCCTCCCCTTCCAACCCCCATTTTACAGAGAAAAGAGACTTTAACTACCTCTTGATTCTAGTAAAGCTCAAACCTCCAGAGATGGGGGTAAGAGACTTGCACTTACCCAATGCCTTCATGTAATTGTCAAAGTTGTGATTGCTGGTGTGTTTCCAGGTGCCATTGAAATCCATAGGCATGATTAAACTACGGGAGCAAAAGATGTAGTCAAACAAACACTAACTAAAGAACAGGAACTGAAGATATGCCACTTAGTCCAGTTTTATATGAGCGGGGATTGTGGGAGGAGTGGGGGATTACAGCTGGAAGCCCTCTATGGGAGGAACAGGCCACTGAGCTGTCAAGGGGTGGGAAATAGGACAGGAGTAAATCAGCTGCAGCTGGGATTAAAGGGGGAAGTTCACACTGTCTGAAATCTTTGTGTGGATTAAATGTTGTTGACATATGAGCCATAAGAGTATCGTTTAACCTTTGCCTGGCTCCTTCTTTCAGTTTAGTAAAGAAGCAGTGGTAGATGTTGTAATTATAACAAGGCCTACTGAAAACACATCAGACCGTTTGCTTGATTAAAGGACTGTGTGTGTTTGGAAAAATGTAGTCTCCAAGTTACGTATGGGACATGTTCTGACAAACACATTGGACTGATCCTTGTGCTATGCATGGTTGTGTAACAGGGCATTTAAGGGGAGAGTGATGTCCATGCTACAGCATTAGAAACAAGACTACATATGCTTCTTGTTTCTGAAAGATGACAAGAACTTTATATCAACCTGTTAATTGATGTCCAGATAGATAGAGAAGGCAGCATTATTGTTTAGTGTTTAGAGCAGGAATCTGAGAGACAAACTCCTGGTTCCTATTCGTGACTCTGTGATGAATAACCTTGTGTGCATAACCACTCAGTGCTTCAGTTTACATATGTTCTGGGATCTTTCGATGCCATTAAGTATGTTAAAGGTAACCTAGGATCCAGGTACATCAAAGTACAGAATGGCTGCAGTATGCTTTGTTTTCTCAACTCCCTTCCCTGTTTCCGCAACCGGAAACACTATCTGTCTGGCTAGTGTATCAACTAGTCAGAGTAAGAGATGGTATCAAGATTCCACAGTTTGGTGCTGTTTAATAGGCCTGTGGGAAGTGGCTAGCATTCGCTTTGGATTCAGATTCGGCCGATTTAGGGGACAGTGATTTGATTTGGTGATTAGAATCACTGTCCCCAATTGATTTGGCTGAATCTGATTCAGAGATTTGGCTGCTGCCAAATCAGCCGAATCTCCAAATTGGACAGGCCCCATCCCCTGCTCACTCACCCAGCCCTGGAAATGGCTGCCCCGCCCAGCTCCAGCTCCCTGCTCTTTGGGAAAAAACAACCCCACACCCACCACCTAGTGCCCCGTGGGGGGCAATCCCCGCTGCCCTCTACTGCCCCCATGCTGCATGGGGGGCTGTGCCATAAACCCCCTGACCCACCCCCCATGGCTGCCCCATCCACCCTCACTCTGGAACTTTAAGAAAAAAACAAAACAAAACCTGAACTCACCAGCTCCTGCCTGGCAGGGAGTGATCCCTGCTGCCCCCGACTGCCCCACGCAAACGGTAATTTCGTGAGCTGGGAGGTCTGACAGGTGTCTGAGGGCCATGCTCCTATTACATGAGGAATTAAGAGAACAATATTTTAACTCTCTCATTTTCCTGTTGTAAATTGACCTTTCTCCTTTATGACTCATGTATATCTGAAGCAATAGCAGATTTGAGTGCAGTATTTTGAACTTTTGCACATTGACAATCTCTTACTCAAAAGTAAGAATATATAAGGTTCTTCTTACATTTGCTGTAAGAGTGAAAATATATCAGTAGTAATCCTGTATTACTTGTGTAGTCTTAGAATACGTGGATGTATTTATGGGCAAATCAGATCATGTTAACTTTCGTGCCTCGAGTTTTTGTCTATAAAATGGGGTTAATACTATTCTCCTGCCTTGCATGTGTGTTCTGAGGATCCATTTAATCATACTACTGTCATGTAACTAGTATTCAGCAAAAGCCTATAACTATATCTATAAGAAGCAAAAATAGTGTGTTATTTAAACGTTAATCTAGACTGTGTTGTTGTTTTAATAAAAAATAAGGAGAAGTTAGCATTCCTGTCAGTCAGGAGCTTGAATGGGGAAATTCAGCCCCCGCTATTTTATTTATTTAACTTTTGCTGTCAGTGAGTTGAGGTCACCGACTTAGGGGCTAGGGTTTCATAAATCTGATTTCAAAATCTTGACTCTGGCCATATTTTTGGAACTGACAGTTGTTCCCATTTGGCTTGTGACCATGGGAGTAGGAAACTGGGATACCAAAGCAGGCTTCTTGCTCTCAAAGTAAGATTGTTCTTTAGCGTAAGAGGGCAGAGAAATACAAATTGCTTTATAAAATAGCAGGTCTTTGGCCTTGCTGGTTAGAAAGAGGTCAGATGGAAGCAGGTATTTTATTGCAATCTTATCAGCTGTCCCAAGCCAAGGAAGTTAAGCTGCATCAGTACTTGGGCCTAGTGACAGATGTTATACGTAGACAGATAAATTAACTGGAAATTTCCTATTTCTAAAGGGTGGTGTAGAAAGTTATGCTGAGCG